CTTTTAAAAGTTTAGCAACTTTGGTGTTTAATTTGGTAGAAACAAAACTATATGTGTATTTTGGCTCATAGGTATATTTAGAAATATTAGTTGTTTGTTAGTAATGATGGAAGAATCCTTCTTTTTTCTTTAGATAAAAGTACATGTATGATAAGGAGTTGAAACAATAGATATGGATGTAAAAAATCCAAAATTATAATTAAAATATTATTTAATTCTTTTAAACATTATGTAAGTTATCACATTGTATATGGCTTGGAAAAAGAAAAAAATACTTTGTAATGTCTCAAAGTAACTAGGTTTATTATAAATCAGTTGACAATAGATTGTACCACAGTAACTAAGCAAGTAATATACATTTTGAACATTGAAAAATTATGAGATATGTTACATTTGTGAGCCTTAAGTAAATATAGTGTAATAATTATAATTTATAATGTATATATATTATGTGCTTGGTATTTTGATAGCCAGTAAAAGCATTCAATTCACTCGTAGAAGTAGCTTTTTCCTGCTTTTCTTTAGAGAAGAAAGATATTATAAGAAAATATAAAATAATTAATATATATGTCATGGACTTCTGATGTTTTGGTACAAGTTAAATGATGTGGCAGTAGCACAAGTACAAAATATCAAAATACATTTTATTTCAAGTTATTTATGAATGCTTTACAAAATAGTGATGTTCTATGGATTAAAGGTAATATGATTCTTTGAAATTATAAAAATAGAATTATACAAAATTCAGATTAATTTTTGGACATTATTGAGTTTTACATAATAATTAGATATTAACACAGTAATAGATTTTTTTTTAATTTTTAGATTAAACGAGTAAACTGTATTTTAGATATATATATATATATATATATATATATATATATAAGAAAAATGTCGAATTTCAAAATAATAATAATAATATTTTTTTTTCCCATTACTCTGTTGATTATCATAATGAAGTTCTTAAAATTAATTACAGCCATATTAAACTTTAGTTATATTATAATTTGATGCATCAGCCAATATAGTTTCGTCATTTACAAGTTAGTATGGTTAGAAAATGGTAAAATTGTGAAATTCAATTGCATATGAGTATTTTAAAGCATATTTATGTACGAATCCTATTTAAACTATTCTTTAAAAAAAATAAAAACTAATATGAAAATTATTGTTGCAAAAAAAAATCATCTTTTTTCTTTTCTACTGCTAAAATATGATATGGTAATATCAAAGTGCTCAAGATTAATACAAACCACATTGGATGTTTGTTGCAAATGCTTCAGTGTGCACCTCATTTTATCAAGCAGTCTTGTTTGTAGTAAAACACTGCAAATCTGAATTGTTGTATGTATGATTAGACTTAAAGTAACATTTTTGTACAAATGGCAGTTTGCATTTCTTGTGATTAGAACCCAAAAAAAGAACTTGCAAGGCAAATAATTTTAATGTATAAGTGTGTAGAGATAAAAGTAAAGTTTTCAGATTCATGCATTGTTTGCTCTTAGCTTTCAAGGAAATATTTATTGTATTGTATAAGGTTATCATGATGGTGATAATATATATATATATATATATATATAAAAAAATTAAAACTGCAATGTTTAAGCTACTGCATGTAAAAAAAAATATCTTTCATAGTGATTGTTAATGAAAGCACAAAAAACTCACATGCATATATCTGAAGAATAATTTATTGGTTCTATGGATCAAAAAATTTAAAATTCATAAAAAGTAAACAAAGATCCATTTTTAAAAAACTTAATTTTATCTTCAATTCATTAAAAAATAACAGTAATAACAATAATAATAATATTCATAAAACTAATTACACTATTTCTAAATCTTTTCATGAAGCAAGAAAAAAATGTAACTGATAGATATCTATATATACACCTTCTCTTACACATAGTCCTACTTTTATTTTCTTATATATATATATATGAACATTAATGAGATAGCCTCCATGGTTATGCAACATTCACGCATAGTGCACCCACAAACACAAAAAACCAAAATGAGATCCAACAAGTGCACAACACTGCAGTCACCATCTTAGGAACTGTGAGGGGGAACAGCTCCAAAATGTGGCATTCTCAAATTGCAAGCCTTGTGCAATAGCCAGTGTGAGTTTCTGGGAGGATGAGCCACCTGCAAATGAGAGTGCCCCAGGAGCCTGAGTGAGCACCATTTTCAATTTTTAATTTTAATTTTAATTTTTTGTACTGAGCTGAGAAGCAGAGCAGGGGTGATAGCCATGGGTTTTCGGAGGCCAATGGAACATGCTTGTGTGTACACAGACAGCAAGGGATCTCTCTATCTCTCTCTTTCTTTCTCTCTCACTCTCTCATGTACGGGCCCTTCAACAGGCTCCCAGTGCCAGCCAGGCAGCAACCCTATCCCCTGTGCATGACAGGATCAGCATGAGAGCCTTAAGGAAATCCAATGCCTGTGACTCTAGGCTGATGCTTAGAACCTAAATCCATGCACACCCACCATTGGCCTTCTGACTCACATTCTCCAATCTTGTCACATCCTCTAGAAAAGACTTCTGTACAGCAAAGAGCCAACCCCAGCAATAAAATCTGCATGCAGGAGGAGTAGCATGTGGGGTGGGTGCTTTTGTTCTCCACAACCCCCTTTTTCCAAGCAATTGTTTTTTGGGGACCTCTTGCTTTTGCTTCCATCACACGATAATCTCCAGGGATGATGTGACATGCCCCACTTTTCAAATACTGCAAAAAGTGGGATTTGTTGATAAAGGAAATTGCATGGGATTGTTGCCATTTATTTTATTTTATTTTATTTTGAGTGTTTGTAGAGCATGATTTGCATGCAGCTAGAAGGTGGGGAGATCTTGCTTTTCTGTTTGAGAGGATTTTTTTTTTTTTTTTTTTTCTTCCACATGAGGGATCAGACCATGGTAATGTCTCTTTTCAACTCCCTGTGAATATGATTTGGTGTTTAGTAAAGGTGTAAACCATTGCTAGGGTAAATTTTTATCATAGTTGTTGTTGTTGTTGTTGTTGTTGTTGTTATTATTATGTTGATTTTTTTGTTTATTTTTGAGTTATGTGGGGGAAGAAGTCAAGTGTTGGTGATAATAGTGTTGAATATGTTTTTTTTTGAAGAAAAGAGCTTTGTGCAAGTTTGTTGACAATGAAAGCTCTTGTAGGAGACTTTATCATCAAATTATTAACATGATTTTGCCTTGCCTATTGCTCATGTACAAGGCTATTTGAAAAGTCAAAAATAAAAAACAAAAATAAATAAATAAATAAATAAAGACTTCACAAGTATTTTCTATTTTTTGTGCATAATGTTTGTCCCATTGTAGCAGATACCAGTGTAATGATTTGGAAACATCCATGAATAATGCAGCAAATGCATGTATGTACAAATGTATGATTTTGAAATAATATCAGTAATTGTCTTACACATGAACTAAAATTTAAACTAAAATTTCAGATAAAAAATAATTTAAAATTGAACACCATTTTTAAGGGAACCACAAATTTTAAATGCACTATGCATAATAAAATACAATTTATGAAGTGTATGATATTAATTAATATATGAGCATTAAAATATATAAATATTAAAATTTTACATAAGTAAAAAACAGCTTATTTTAAGGCGTATAAATTAATACATTAAGCTTGAATTTTTTTAAAGTTTCAAATTGTTTTTTTAAGTAGCATTTCAGATTATGATTTAGTTATCAAATTTTTAATCCCTAAATTATTGATACAGTACGTTCTTTTTGATGTACTATCCATAAAAAAATTAAAACTAAATCCAATCTGATTTACTTAAAACCTTAGAGATTTTAAAGCCTAACTAAAAAATATCCAATTTATTTCTTTATTAATAAACAGTTAAAACAAAGAATGAGGATTGGTAAACAGCTATGCCAATCTCTCATGCCAAAATAAACAAAACATGCATCTAAAAATAAAAATAAAAACAAAAAAACAAATGGCTAGAAAAAACCAAAAAGTAGTAATGATTTTGTTAAAGAATTTGAAAATTCTTTAAAAACATCTTTTCAATAATTAAGTAAAAAACAACATCTTTCAACAAAAAAAAACATCAAATTTCAAACTATTAAATTATTGAATGACCCATAGATACACTATTCAAACCAATCATACAAGATTCCATGTACCAGTCCAACACAAACCAAAGTTTGTGTTGTGTCTACATTACTTATCAATCATGCATTGTTTGCCACAACATCACTCTGCGACCCCATGAACTTGGGGTGTAAACCAACTTATAATTGCAATGGACAAGCTCCTTGCAGGCCAGCCGTTCTGCTCCCCCACACTGTCTTACACACATGCCTTGTAATGCTCTACATGAGCTTCCATAACTCTACTAAAAAAATCATCAACAAGAGAAGGGGTCTTTCACCATCCCCTTCTTTTCACAGCTCCAAAAACGCTTCCTCCAACTTTGGGGTCCTTAGCTGCATTGACCCTCACATCACATTCCACAAAGCAGATCCTTGGAGTACGCACCCAGAAGTGTTGAAAAACCACCAAATCAAATCATGCACTGAGGGTCAATTGTATTCCCAGCCCCCAATCAACAACAGAGAGTTGTAATGCTGGCACTTGGATTAATTCTCAGAGGCAAGGGATAACTGTGTGGCAACGCTACAGCTGTGCAAGACCAGGTGGAAATCCAGCAGGAAAAAAAGACAAATCAAAAAACAAAAACAATAAAGCAAAACAAAACATACACACACACACACACACAGAGGGTGCAGATCATATGTGACTGAAAGCAGTCAAAGAGTTGGGGAGCATGTAGTGAGGAAGGAGCACGTTAGAAGCACTAACTGAATGAGCTCCAGATCCACGTCTTCCCTGGGGCGGTGGGTGGGGGTAGCATTGGAAGGGACGCCGACGGAGTGGGAAACTGAGAGTGAGTGAAGTAAGAAAATAAGTAACTGAGGGAGAGTGAGTTCCTTCGTTCGTTTGGCCAGTTGGGTTGGGGTTCGGAATGGGCCGGAGTCCAGTTCCAGTCCAGTTCCTCCTCCATTTCGTGCAGGAAGGGCAGCGCTGCTGTGCGTGGCCGGGCCCTGGCAAGGCCCTGACCGGGCGCGGCCTTTCAGCAATGAAGAAGAATATAATTTACTGCTGGGCTGCAAGTACAAGACGATGCCGGAGGGAGGGACAGAGATGAATGATCTCCCCCCTCCCCCGAGCTGTTGTTGTTCTCCCCCATTCCATACTGGATGAGCAACTTGTACTGACCCGCAAGTCGGATTGCTGCAGTGTTACTGTGAGAGAGAAGCGGGGCTTGAAGCCTTCTCAAGGTCTTTGGAAAAGCATTTAAGGGCTTTTGGAATGCTCTTCCTGTTTGTCGAGAAGTGTTCGGAAACTGGGTGGTCGTTTCGCTGTTTTCAGAGCAGGGAATGATCTTAAATGTTTTTTTTTTGTCACGTACTCAAGTACGAGGAGGGGGTCTGCCTAACGATCTCCTACACCTGAGGTGTGTGAGGCAATTTGCGAGTGTAGTGAGCTGGTTAGTGTGTTTGTAGACATCCTTTGTGAGGGGTGGAATTCACTTTGGTGCACTACTGCACCGTAGCTTCTTTGAGGTAGGAGAGGAGCGGTGGGTAGGGTGCGGACAGATCGCGAAGGGGTGAGAGTGATGGCGATACGGGGCGGGATCTGCAGTGAAACGTGCTGCATGAGGAGACAAGAGCTTGCTTTAATCTCCGGATCAAGCGATATAGTGTCAGTATGAGTATGTGTAAGTGAGGGAGAGAGAGACACACGCACACAGAAAGTGAGATTGAAAATGGTGATGCGGAGTGGCTACTCGCAGAGCTAGAAACTGCAAACTGCTGAGTGTGGAAGGAAATTGTACAACTCAAAAGCTGTGCCCAGATTTACTCGTAGTCCTCATACACCTATGATCCCAATCGTCCGCCTTTCAAACTTGAATTTATTACAAATCTGGGGATCTCCTACAAATTCTGTCGTGTGGAATTTTTTAGGATTTGGAGGAAAACTCTTTCGTGTGTGCGCTTCGGAACGTGCCGTGTGCTTCAAATCTCAGAGTAGTATAATATCCCCTTCACCGGTTTCTGAGTTGACTGTAGGGTGGGTAGAGAACGACTGCAATGCGTTGTGCGATTAATGCGAGCAGCTTCTGGAAGCAGGAGGATTAGAAATTTGCGGCAGAGTACGGGCTCGGAGACATGTGACTGAAGAAGAGAATCTGTGAGGGGTGTGATCTGTCTACAAGGAGATCCGAAGGGGGATTAATACTGGCGTGCAGAGTTCTGCCTTCAGTCGTGGGGTTAACCCTTTCGTTCGAGTCGTAGTGATGAGCGCAACAGAGTAGCAACAGATTCAGAACCAGAGTTATGACTAAGCGCATGCCTGAAGAGAGGTGGTTACAACTGCAATTCAATATTTGTCAAGGCCCTGAGTCATCATCATTACCATTACGATTCTGAAGGAACTGGAAACTGCCAGCGCCGCGACGCTGCAGCAGAAGCAGCAGCAGTCCGGGCTGTTGGTTACTTCCTTGTACAATTACCAATTCAAAAACCTCATTTTTCACCCATCTCTTTTCGAGTGTTTTCCTGCCACAAGGTGATTGATTCCCTCCCGCCCGTGAGTAGTCGGATTGCAAGAATCATGCGGTATCAAGATCCTGCTGTGGCAGTCCCGAGATCAGGTTGACTTGGAAGGAAACTGACGTGATGATTGGTAATGTACTACAACTATACCCTGCAGCTTTTGCAGAGTTTATTATGAAATTTTCATTCGCGAAGAGTGGGATTTAGGGTGACGGCGAGGGACAGCCTGGATTTAACATATTATTATTCCTATTCATCGTAGCTCATCACGCAGCTATCTCACTTCGCCCCTTCTCCTTTCATTTCCCATCCTCTTCGCAGTACTGCAGGTTGTACGTATCATCGAGTACCAAGGATTTTGAGGATTTCAGGGTAGCCTTGCCAGTACCCTTGAAAACAATATGGGACCTCCTGTTAATTCCTTTCGAGAAGATCGTACGTTTGTGTTGATGAAATTATGGTCTTGAGGCTGTCTTTCCCAAGCAACACTTCAAAATGGTGACTATAGAATGCAGTTTTAAGACGAAGTTGAGGTTTGAGACAACGTCGAGCCTGAGCGGACAGGTGGTGTGTTCATCTCAAAGCAAAGACGCCACGCAAGAATCGGACAGGTCACGCAATCGAAGTAGGTGTAGATAATATGGTCGGGGTTCGATTTTGAATTTTGATGGCTCCTTCGTAAGCAGTCAAATGCAGGATATTTTTTTGGGTTAGGTGCATGTTCGTGCATCGAATCCTGTGACGGGCCCATCTCACCCGATTGACGGGGCAAAAATGTCTAGTTTATTGGACCGGCAGCCCTCGTCGCCCATGAAGCTGAAAATCTGGTTGACTCCACACTCGGGGGACTGCATCAGCGTTGTCCGCAAGAGGTCGCCCTGTCGAGCATAAAGAAGTGCCTTGGCAGCCTCTTCGTTGCTGCCAACCAGCAGTTCAGTTGGACGCAGTGCAGGGGAGGGATTGACCATCGCTTACTGAGACGGACTATTCAGGCAAACAATCTAGTTAAGCACTCGAACGTAAGGAGATGGAATTCATAAAACAACCTGGCTTGAAAGGAGTCGACGGGGCGCGCAACATTGTAGTGGCGGCTTTTGTGGGATGCATCCTAGTATTTCTGTCGCAGACGTGCTACGGAAGTGCGACGACCGATCGTATTTATTTGAAATCGCTCCCGTTGCAGGGCATGCTCTCGTTTGACAACACCACGGCGGCGGCCAAGGACTGGGGTCAGTTGCGAAGCCTCAAGCCAGCTGCAGTGGTGTACCCCACCGCCGTGGAGGACATTGCGACAATTCTACAAGCTGTTGCGCGGTCGGAATCTGAGCTTACCGTAGCGGCTCGCGGACTGGGGCATTCCATCAACGGTCAAGCTCAGGTAACGATCCAGCCCTGTCCAATTCATTGCTACAGTGTGTGAATTAATCCTGACGATGGCTTAACAATGTTCGCGTTGAATGTGAGTTTCTTAAGGTCGCGTGAAAATGTTTCTGGTGTGATAGGCACACAATGGCATTGTCATCGAGATGACGGCCATGAAGGGGATCCGAGTGATGCCGCTGGGCGATCTTGGATCTCTCCACGTCCCATACGTGGAAGCCATGGGCGGAGACCTCTGGATAGACGTCCTGAAAGCCTCTCTCGAGTTCGGCCTCGCACCCAGATCCTGGACCGACTACCTTTACCTCACCATTGGGGGCACTTTGTCGAACGCTGGTGTCAGCGGCCAGGCCTTCCGCCACGGTCCTGAAGTCAGCAATGTTCTGCAGCTGGAAGTCGTCACAGGTATCAATGCAAACCGCCTTTTTCATGCTATTAATGCACACCAGAAAACCTCATGGCGATTGTTCGACTCTTGGTATAATTCTGATCTTCTCTATCTCCCCAATGATTGCAGGCAGGGGCGAGCTCGTGGTATGCTCCCCGATCTCTCACTCGGACCTCTTCTTCGCCATCCTCGGCGGGCTGGGCCAGTTCGGCATCATCACTAAGGCGCGCATCGTCCTCGAGAAGGCCCCGCAACGGGTTCGCTGGATGCGCGCCATCTACACCGACTTCGCGACGTTCCGGCGCGATCAGGAGCTGTTGATCAGATCTAGCTCCGGCAGTCCACCATTCGACTACGTGGAGGGCTTCGTGGTGGTGAACGACGCGAACCCCATCAACGGGTGGGGGTCGGTTCCTTTCGCCCCCGGGGACATTTCCGAGGCCATGATCCCGCCCCAGGCCGGCAATATCATGTATTGCCTGGAGGTCACCAAGGCCTACTCTGCAGCTGATCTTCACAACCTGGATCAGGTACCACTGATTCCCACACCGACGTCCCCGCACACCCTGTGAAAAGAAACGCATTGGGGTGAAAATTTAGGACTTAGGGTGTTGCATATTGGTTGAATATTGGAGCTAGAACACACCTGTATGAGTTGGAGTTCTTTTCTAGTGTGGAGGGGGGGTTCGGCGTTTTTTGTTGGCACGTAGCAAAGAAAAAATTCAGCGTAGTATTTCGGCTGGTTTGATTTTGATGAGTTTATGAGAGACTTGTCAGTTATTGGATGCTGTGGTTTTAATGATGGGTGTAAAGTACTGGGGTTATGATGGAGATGAATACCATGGAGGGAGGATTGAGTTGGTCCTATGGATGAGAGTTCATAAATTTTGGGGGTGTCTAGATTGAAAGGCATGTGACCAAGCAAGAGAAACATGTTATGATTCATGGAGAATCACAATTTGGAGTGTTTTTAGTACTGGTCAGGGAACTCCACGTCTTGTGTATCTGTTTTGTACTGATACCTAAGATTTGGCATTCAATAGACTTTCCGCTTCTTCTCAAGATAGATTGGACTTACACCAATCTATTAAATGTGTTGTGCAAGGGGAGTGATAACTAAAGAGATTTGATTAATCAGCAATATCTTCTGGATCCTGTGTATGGCAGTATTCATGATTTTTTATGATTGGATTTGCCTGTTGGTTCTGATGAAGAGATGGCTTGTCTGTTGGTATATTGCCTGTGCTCAGGTGGTGGAGAACATGTTGTCACGGCTTGGTTTCCACCGCGGCTTGCTTTTCAAGACGGATACCTCTTACTTGAAGTTCCTGAATCGGTTGCATGATGTGGAGATGCAGTTGAGTGCAAAGGGGTTGTGGGATCAAATCCCTCACCCATGGCTCAACCTCTTTGTGCCTGCAGCATCGATCAACTGTTTCGACAGACTTGTATTGAAGCAGCTCAAGACGTGGGATTTTAGTGGGCCTATTCTGGTGTACCCTTTGAACAAATCCAAGTGAGCGCCCAGTGCTTTCTCAAAACCTCTCTTGAACTTGAATTAAATTTTTAACAGAAGAAGATTTTAATAGACGAATATCTTAAAATCGACGTCAATTTATTTTTCGTCCAACCTGTTAGACAACATACGATGCACACCGAATGGGAGGGTTGACTGTGTTTATACGCATTGTTTGGCTAGCTACCAAACCAAACCCACAGCTGAATATTGATGCCTAGCTGTACTGAACCAGGAACAAAGATTGAGAAAATATGCTGGCAGAGATTGAGCAAGTGTTTGGTTGAGCTGTGGGCAGGTGGGACAGACGGCTCTCTGCGGCTGTACCTGAGGGCCCTGAAGAAGTCTTCTATATTGTAGCCTTCCTGCGGAACAAGCTCCCGGACACCCTCGGTGGCCCTCCATTATCAGTCATGCTGGAGGAGAACGAAAACATCCTGCGCATCTGTGAGCCTTTGCATTGCAAGCAATACATGCCGCACAATCTAGACCGACAGCAGTGGAGGCATCACTTCGGCTCCAAGTGGGACTTGTTTGTGCACAACAAGCAGTTGTTCGATCCGTGCGGCATTCTCTCTCCGGGGCAGAACATTTTCTCCCGCCGCCAGATCAGCCTCAGCAATCACTTGGAGTTTCGTGGGATGCAGGAGTGACGAGTGATGCGGATTCAACAAGACGTCACAGTGGAAGCCGACGAAACCCTATGTCTTGATGCGAAAGCTATTAACTCCTTGCTGCTGTTATTGGGGCTGCTATTTTGGTGATGGAGCAGGTAGTTAATCTGTTTTTTTTATGGATTTTACTTGATAAGTGAGAGTGTTAATTGAGGGAAATTGAGACAGATGAGTTGATAAAAATTATTAAAAAAAATTAAAAAAACATTTAAAAAAAAACACTTGGATGAGTTCCTAAGGTATAATAGATCTACCATCCATCTTAATTGTTGGTTTTTCTCTTGGAGCTGCAGCTAGCTTTGGAAGAAAGTGAGAAAAAAAAAAAAAAAAAAAAAAAAAAGAAAAAAGAAAAAAAGGATTTCTTTTCCCTTGTACATAGTGAATATGAGGAATTTGTAGAATTAGCAGAGATGTGATTTGTAGTTCACCAATTTCAAGCTGGAAGAAAAAGGGCATGCAGCAGCTAATATGTGAGGTGGGGGACCTACCCATATTTGGAAGTACATTTGATGTTGAAGGAAGGACAAATATCACCAAGCCCCATATTGCCTTACAACACCATGTTGTGGAGGGTTTTGTAGAGAAGTTAGCAGTGCTAATTCAGAATTAAGCTTTTAGGATTAGAAACAAACAAAATTGCTGATGATGATTCCCCAAGCCCCAATGATCTGAAGTTGGTTGGCATATCTGGGGATTTATGTGTTGTAAAGAGTAACATGGCAATTCAATTCCTTTCAAAATAGTCATTTCAAAGATTCTCTCATATATTTTTTTCTTTGTGTATTTTCAAGTTTGAAATTGGTGTGGTTTTTAATATTTTGAGACCTTGTGAGCACTGAGGGCAGTTCAATGTTCTTGTGATTTGTGCACCTGTTAATCATGTCCCTATTGCATAGAGTGATCATTTATTGAAGAAGTTTTGTAAAACTAAGCTGTTGGATTCATATTTGGCTGTGTGGTGTTCACTTCCCCCATGCAAGATAATTCAAAAGAGTTGCAAATGGTCTCCTCACCAACTGTTACCTAATTTCATATCATTGGCAATGAGAGAAAATAATTTTTCATTGCAATGCAATATTTTGATAGATGTGCAATATTTTCAGTAACAAAGTCTTTATTTGTTCATGTTTCGTGATAAATTTTATGGACAAAACTACTGAAAATCCTGTGAAGGGAACTCATTCTGTTGAAAATGAAACATTCGCTTCATAAAATATTTTCAAATTTCATGATTGTGAAAGAAAAATGGTGGTGATCGGTTGTTGCACAAAAATCACAACCTTTTAGTTATACATAATTTTGTAAATTCTATGTATGTATTTCCATACTTTCACTTGGAATTTTCTGTGTATCTGTAAGAGTTTAGTTTTAATATGCATACATGTTACTTTTCTGTGTGTATGATGCCATCAGCTTGTTTGAAATTTATTGTAGGTATGTGAAATTTCAATTCTTATGTTTAAACAAGCTGGTTTGGACATGAGATGATAAATCATTCAACCAAGAAGTAATTGTTTATACCAGGAGTGTTACCACAGTAAATCATGCTCCAATATTAAAGAAAAAAAAACTAGCTCTGAGTTAATTTAGAGACTATCTATATTATAGGAAAAAAATGGGACTCATAACTAATTCATGTAAAGTGGATCTTTGTGTGTATTTATTAATCTTAAAGCAATACACTGTTATGTTGATGAATTGCATGATTCTTATACATGCTTAGATATGCATTTGAATATGAAATAATGTGGAAGTTAGTAATCTACTCTAGTTTTAAAAGCATTAAAATTTTACATTTTAATTTCAAAGAATTATTTTACTACTTTTAATTTGATCATTAACCAGGCTCACTCAGTAATTGTTGAAAAATTAAGCTAATCTTGCAGTTTAAAGTTAATAATATGTATATTTAAAATTTATGTCATCTATTTTCTTTACAGGTGTGTGTTGCATATTAACATAAAGAAGATACAATAAATATAATTCATTTTTCAAATGTCACATTTGTACATATGCACTGTAGTTCTGTGGTTTTGTTTTATAGTGCAACATTTACCAAGGAATCTACAGCATCAAATCCCCAAGATTGAATTCTTATTCAGATTGAAAATCCAATCTTCGTTGATTTTTATTATTGCTATAGTTATTCATACATATCTGTGTACACACACACACACACACACATATACATATATATATATATATATATACACACACACACACTTACATATGTACTTACCAAGATCAAGCAACACATAGTCATGTATGAATCTATATGTATGTATATATATATATATATATATTTATTCACATATACAATTGACAAATATACACACAGCTCAAAAATACTCTGTACTTAATCAACAAATATATATACATACTGAACCCTAAACCTGACAGCTTTGTACATATGTCAAGCTTTAAAACTTCAACACCTGAGGGCAACAACAACACACATGGAAAAAGTAGATTTTGACAAAGCTGATGTGGAGGTGCAGACACACACACTCACTCACTCACTCACTCACTCACTGGGATACCATCGGTACCCACAAATGTACAAGTCTGATGATAGACGACTGTAGCCTCAATTGTGTATGGCAGTCTGCAAATGTAACTTTGGGGGGATGTACAACTAATTATAGTGTGAGCTTGGAGTGAATGGCTAGTCTGTGATCACAGCATTTTCATAGTACTGGCATGCAATAAAGCATTGTGGGGGTGGGGGTGTTGTGGTGGTGGTGGTAGTATTATTAGTAGTATTAGTAATAGTAGTGGTACTACTACTACTCCCCCTCCCCCTCCCCCTCCTTGCTTTACATTTTGCTGCTCTATTGTGGTACTATTGAAGATGGAGACATGGCTGTCTGCACTGTGTAGTGTTAGAGACCGTGACAGCTTGTCGCCCTCACCTTCATTGTGACAGGGGCTTTCTGGTTTGAAGCTCCCCAGGGGCTGAAGTCCTTACACCTTGATTGCACACCACTCAGCTTGTGTGTATGAAAAATAATAAATAATGATAAATAAAAAAGATCAACACAGAAGAAGAAGTAGAAGAAGAAGAAGATGGGGTTCTTTTTAAAAAGTTGTGTGAAACCCAACAATTTATAACTAGTTTTCAAAATTGAAGAGTGTTTCATCCTTGGTGCACGAAGTGGGTGTGGTACAAAGCTGTGGCGAGTTTATTTTAAGGCTGCTGCCCTTATTGGAGGACTTTGAAAATGGGGATTGAGTAGAGAGTATTTGCCTCAAGGGAGGTCTTCATTTGTTGCATCACTGCTATTTGTGGAGCTTGTTTTGTGTACATTTTTTCTCTTCTTCTTGCCATTGTTTGCATGTTCAATCCCTTGTTAATTGGTAAAGTAATCAGAGTTTTATTATATGGTGAGAAAAAAAAA